TGATAGGTAGCAAAAAAGGCTGGTGGGGCACTTAAAATATTGTAAATTGGATGGGATAGTAAAATATATGTTCACAACATCCTTCAAAGTATGCTTGTTGATGGCTGTTTTTCAAGAGTACATTTAGAAATACCATCTCTGCTAAAATCTACACCTAACACTGATTTTGGAAAAACTCAAAGTAAAACCATGGAGTTTCTACCAACAAAAACTAAACAGAAGTTTGTGACAAATCTGAAGTCAACAAGATTCTACTCTGATCTTCAGGATCACAAATCTGACAGCAGTCATATGGAAAATGATACATGTCGTAACCAGAGAAACTAGGGAAAATGTCCTTCCAGTGATGACTGTCAGAGAACATTTTGTAGATTTTTGATGACACAATGATGAATGTGCTTCTTGAGAAGCTGGAAGATATCGGAATTGTGGTAACTGACATGACTGATCAGGACCGTGATAATGGTCCTGATGTTATAGATAATTCTCAAAAATAGTGTTGATAGAAGAATGGCCCAAAGAAATAGAATCACATCTTACTGGTGAGATGAGTAGTTTTAAAATTCTCTGAAAGTAGCAAAAAAAACAAAAAACTGCATTTACCTTAAGACTACATTAATAGAATTTTGCAAATCTGAAAGGACAAACTTCCTGCCACCAGATTTAACTGCTTGATCCATTAGGACAGGGCCTTCCTAAGTTACTTTCTCTAATTTTTAAGCCACTAGGGGTTCCTGCCTCTTTTGTCTCTTTTGTTTCCTAGACTGCTTCTCTTTTCCTCATTCCCCAAGGTCATCCACACATTCCATTACAATCTCTGATCACTGAATAAATACTGAGTTTATAGGATTATATAAAGAATTATAGTTCAAAGGAGCAACTTTCTGTTGAGATTTTTAAAATAATTGTAAATGCAGCAAAAAAGAACTTTTAAAACTGCAATCCTGTTTTGGTCTTTCCTAAAAGCATTGCATTTTAAAAACTTAAAACAATTTTTGCAATAATTTTAGGAAACACAAAAGAGACAGCAGCATTCACTCTTGGTTTTTTTGGGGAGAGCAATTTTTATGGTCAGTTCAGTTCCTAGTAAATAGAAACTAAATGGACTGGACTAATGAGCACGTTTGTTATCCAGGTGGGCTTAACTTTTTTTTTTTAAAGAATATTAAAAAATAAAAATGATTTTTAAAAAATTAAATGAAAATTAATTTCTCCTTTTTGACATCAACAATTTTAATTAACTTAGTATTGAGCAATAAATGATTGAAGTATGATGCAATTTTGTTTCCTTATGGTGGAAAACATTTATATTTAATGGAGAGGGGGTGTTGCAGATTAAAAATGCTAATTTAAAGTTTGCATTGCTCCTCAATTTTAATTCCTAAATTGTAGATTTATTCCAAAATATATTATGTAGAACTCTTGCTTGCTTGTTGTCAGGACAGTAGCCTTCTAAATATATTTATAATTAATAATCTCTGATTACAATGTTCTTCATCATTAATTTCATCCACCCTTCCTCTGTGAAGGATTCTTTCTAACATAATGATCGGTTGGTTTATTTCTGAAGAGCTACAGGGTTCAAATTGACAGAAAGTTACATCTCCTCACCACAAAATTCTGATATACTTTAATATAAGCGTATTCTTCAAGTATTTGTAATTATATTTTATTTTGCATTAGTCAGATATTATCTCAAAGACTTTGTCTAGATCTGGGATGACATTTTAAGGATTCAGACCAGGTGGAATAGTAAATAAAACAGCAAAGATAATAATGCATTTGTAAACTATGTGTAATGATTGCAACCTATGCATTTTTAACTCTGCGATACAATAGCCAACAGATGAAGGGAGTATCACAAATAAAATCCCAACATTAGGGAAAAAAAGAAGCATATTCTCAAGTTAGTTTAATTTCTATTGATTGAATTGCCAGAAATCTGAAGTTTTCTTTACAACAATAGTTATTTATTGGGCTTATATGTTGGTCCAATCATCACCGCCTTTGAGCAGTTTGCATGCCCGCTTCTGTAAAATAAGATAAGGAATTATTCATAAAGTTTAAATGAGCAATAACCAACTCAGAATTTCACACTGGTAACAATAAACAAGTACAGTTAACAGACCAGAACAATCACATTACAACAAAGTAAACCACAACACTACAATAAAATTAGTATTTTAGAATAATAAAAAAGTGGGAAAAAGATGAAAGATAAAATTGCAAAAATCAAAGAAAAATCAATATAAATTATTATTGATTATAAAGAAATTATTTCCATTTTTTTTACAGCAATTGTAAGTATATGTTGGAAAGAAAATCTAGCACTTTTTTTATATATATATCAGCAGCAAGGTTGCTATATGCCCAAAGATGGAAAGAGAAATATATATCGACAATAGTAGAATGGGTTCTGAAATTAATGGAGCTAGTCCAATGATGAAATTGACTATTTTACTTAGAGATCATAACTTGACTATATTTCTTATTCTTAAGAGCCTTGGTGGCACAGTGCAGTACTGCAAACTACTACTTCTGACAGCCAGCTGCCTGCAATTTGGCAGATCGAATCCCACCAGGCTAAAGGTTGACTCAGCCTTCCATCCTTCTGAGATGGGTAAAATGAGGACCCAGATTGTTGGGGGCAATATGCTGACTCTGTAAACTGCTTAGAGAGGGCTGTAAAGCACTATAAAGCGGTATATAAGTCTAAGTGCTATTACTATTCTTGTGACCTGGAGACCCCTATTAGATTGCTTACAAGACGAGAAAAATCAGGTTTTGATTTCAGGATTTGAGGATTAGATTGAACTAGAGAAATATTGTAGCTTTTCAAACATAAGGTTATTTACATTTGACTTACTATATGTTAAGATTAAAATTAAGAGAATATTTTATGAATATTGTTATTTTAGAAGGTTGATTATTAGTATTTTGTTTTAAAGATTAGCATTGTTTGTGTAAAGCTAGACAAGTTGTTGTACTGTTATTTCTGGACTAAAAGAAACTCAGAAATCATCTTTGTTATAAATTTGATATATTTTTGGTTACTTTGTTTTGCTGTTCCCTTTCCCTTTTCTGATATTTGACTGTGAAATTTAATAGATATTTTAAAAATAAGGGGTTTCCAATCATTATTAAACCTAAATAATATTTTATCTCTAATTAAAACCATTTGTCCATCTTGGCAAGTTCCATCTTTAGTATTGATTCCTCCATTATGGGTAAAGTTTATTTTTTCCACTTTTGTGCATTACATAGTCTCATTGCAGTTGTCATACATGAAAATAAATATGTTTTCCAGCTGCTTAAAAAACAATCCCAAAATCAAAGTCTCAGGTTTTAAACGCTTGAGTCTTTAGAATCTTTTGTATTATTATATGTAATTGATTCCAACATTTTACAAGTTCACCAAAACCATGATAAAATGTCCCTTCTTGTTGGTTTATAGTTCCAGCATAAGTTTGAAGAACATTTATACTTTCTGGACAGTTGTTCCAAGATATATGTACCAATAATACATTTTATAAAACTTATCTTTAAGACCATAACATAGTATAAATTTCAATCCTTTCAACCATATATATATTCTCCTACTGATCCATATGTGTATTGTAACCAAAGTTTTAGCCCATTTTACCATACATTTTCACTTCTTCGTTTCATATTTCAAAAATTGATACATTTTAGCAATAAAATCTTCATTTGTATACAATTCCATTTCAAATTTTGTCTTACATTGTTCAAAACCAACTCATTTTATCTAGTTTAAATCTTTCTAATAATTACCAGTAACATGAATATACTTCTACTGCCAACTCTCATTTTTATTTTACATTCTCCTTAACAAAAGTCTAATGTATCAAAGCAAGTCAACCATTTATGTCTAGTAATCATTTCTATTCTATAAAATGCTTCCTGTGCTGAGATTCACCAAGGCACAGCCTAGGTTTATATCTGTTTCGTATTGTGTGGAACATCTAACAAAATGAATCTTAAAATCTACATTCACCTTAGTTTTAAGGTATTTTAGATATCCATGCCACACAAATATCAAACCATTCCCTTATTCCCTTCTGTAACTCCAAGACAACATCCATTCTTTCATTTTAGACCAAGCAGCTGGAAGAACCAGGCTTTAATGTCCTAAACCCCAGGAAAAAAAAAACTTCATATGGCTTTCTGGGGAATTCAGAGCGAAAGTCAAAAGTTTCATCTAGAATATTTTGTTTTGTCTTCCCAGACTACTTTTGCCATTCCTTTGGAGATCTTCTAGACAGGTAATATACATGGGCCCAATTCCGCTTAGTTTCAAAGCCTGAACAAGATCAGCCAGGAGTTGTTAACTGGTCAGACAAAACACCAAGTGGCAGATACAGAAAAATGGTTTCAGTTATGACATATGGAATGTTAGGAATAAAATCTGTTCCTAAATCAGTAGAAAAAAGTTTGGCAGCAGAACTACTTACCAAGAAAAGTGGTGTGTTCCCCTTATGGGGCTGAGTTCAAGCAGGTGGGCATCTGCCTGGGGTACTTTTGAGTTCCTACCCTGAACAGCAGTTGGATCCCATCCCAATGGATTCATTTCACACGTGCCTATCATTCAGCAACGTTGAAATTATAGGTACTCAGCCCAAAGGATACATGCTTAAGCATATCTTCAAAAACTCCAGGTTTTTTTTAAATGGCGGATTGTAACTATTTCCCTGTAACCCCATGGAGAGGATTCCCGCCGCCCCCCACAATGTTTCCGCCCCCCACTCTTTTCACCACTCCCGGGAATCTGAAAGGAAGGTTTCAATCCTCCTCTTCCCTTTTTCTTCGTGGCAATAATCCCAATCGTATCAAGTTCACGCCTAATAATTTAAAACAATGAAGCATAAAAATACAGGGTGACCAATGTTGAAGTAATGAAAGAATCGCCGGAACGAGAGAGGCCAAAGAACATCAATCCTCGCTCGCCAAAGGCACGCTCGAAGCGGCAGTGCAAGCTCAGTTTAACCCGGGAGCAAATCCTTCGATACGAGAGAAACCAACGTGCGCACGGGCGGGTCCACACGAGGGGTCCCGCCGAGCTGAAAGAAAGCAGCCTCGGCGCTCGGTTTCCGATAGGTGCGGAGGGACCGGGCCTGCCAACTCCGCGCGGCAGAAGACGAGCAGCAAAGCGCTGCCGCCTTCGCCGAACGTTCCCAACGTGTGAGGCTAGATCCGGCTAGGCTGCCGCGGAGGGATCCCAAATCCGTGGGCGGAGGAGACGAGTAAAGGGGGGGGGGGGGGGGGGGGGGGGGCCCGGGGCCCCGGCGGCCCGGGCCGCGGGGGGGGGGCGGGGGCACCAACATGGCGCCTCCATATTAACTTTTCCCCCCTTCGGCAGTGGCTGCCACCGCCGGTCGCCCCTCTCTTGGGTAGCCGTCATGCCGGGCATGATGGAGAAAGGAGCCGAGCTCCTGGTGGGCGCCAAGAGCAGGGCGGCCCCCAACGGCACCAAGAACGGCGGTGGCGGCAGCAGCCCCGGTTCCAACGGGAACTTTTTCGAGCCGGAAAGCGGCGGTGGCGGCGGCGGTGACAGCGGCGACGAGCACGGTGCGGGCTTTATCTTCCCCCACCCTTTTTCTCCCGAGCGGGTAGATTTGGGCCTAGTCCCGTCGCCCCTGTGTACTGGCTGGCTGGTGGCAACTGCACTGAGCTTCTATAGGTCTCTCTGTACTGGGGTATATGTGCACGCGCGCGCGTGCAAAACTGAGGTGCGCTCGTGATAGGGTCTACACAGGGTGCGGATAACGCGAGTATGGGGGGCGCGTACGTGTACACGCGCGCGTCCTCGATTTCGCGCGGCCGCGCTGTATGTGTGCCGGCTTGTCCGTCTGTCCATCATCTATCCCGTGGAGAGTGGGTGTGCATTTTCACAATGGGCACACGTGTATTGCAACCGCACTTCAGGCGCGGTACTGCACGGCATTTTACGTGTGTGTACAACTGTACACGTTTAGTGGCATATATCCTTGCAAACGAGTACGTGGTGGGTGTCTGGACTATGAAAAGATTGCCATGAAGAGTGGTGCACGCAGGTCTAGCTACGTGCAGCCCTTTCTGTCTTGTTTTTCTCTGCTAGAAATGCACTCGAGACATACACCCACGCAACGTTGTGCTGTATCAGCACAATAAAGTAAAGGGTCCGTTTCTGTTTCTCACTAAATTTAATTTAGCACAATTGTTGCCTTTCTGGAAATTAATCCCCACCTGGAATGTTAAAGGGAAGTAGGCATTTCTTTTTCCGGTGTATATGTGGTGGGGGGAGTTATCTCTTTTTTTCTTCTTTCTGTCTGTCTGTCTCTCCCTACTTGTTCAAGGCTTTGAGGCTATCAAAGCAGCAAGACTTGTGCTTATTGGTAATTGTCTATTGCATTGTCTGTGATGCTTCTAAGATCACAATCTCCACATTTTAATTTGTAATGACTATACTTCAATCATTGAAGAGAAAGGCGTCCTTTCTCTTCCGCCCCTCTAAGAGATGCATTTATTTTTTCTTCCATTGCAGATGTAGGAATGAGGGTCGGAGCAGACTATCAAGCTCGCATCCCTGACTTTGATCCTGGTAAATATTTGTATATGTATATTTAAAATATATTTGTAACTTGATATCTCTATGCTGTTTTCAAAAATGGGAGTTTATTGCATGTGTTCATTATAATGAGAATGTAATTGAATGCATTCTGTTGAATATTATGTGAGAGTGAAAGGAGGAGAGTTGCTTTTGTGAAGGTTAAAGGTGTAGGATTTTCTTTGGCACCCCTCCCCCAAGGCTTTGTGCAGCTTGTTCCTGGTCACTGAAGGTTTGCAGAGCCAGCTTTTAATGTTTGGAAGTTGAAATAAGCAGGCCTTGTGTTTGGAGAAGGTAGCTCTTGTCTTCTAAGTAAGAAAGGAAGGGTTTTAAATTTTCAAAAACTTACCTATCTTGCGTCTACAGTAGTTTGAAAAGAGTATTTTATTCCAAGAATATTGAAAGACTATGCTTCCTTGATTTTCCAATATTTAAAAGTGAGGAGTAATGAAGATTTCAATATAATAAGTAATACTTCTGTTCACCATGTGATAGAATAGACAAACTTGCACTTCTTCATACTGATTTATCTCAGTCTTAATTTGCATGTACTATATTAGCAAGTCATTATTATCCAAACAGTCTTATTTCTAGCCAGATCTACAAGGAAACTCTTCTGTAGACCTGGACAATCTATGTCAGTTGATTACTGCTGCTAATAATGGTGCCCTTCTATTGAAACTTATTATTTCACTCTAAGATGATTCTGAATCTTTTGTTTTAAAGAAGAAGCAAATTGATTATCTTTTTTAGAAATATTTTATTGTTGCTATTAAAATCTTATCAATTATAAATGTTTAATTTTATAGCTAGAAAACTGGTTTCAACAATAAAAAGCTTTGGATTTAGTTTTGTTGTACCTGTCATATATACTATTAAAATATTGTCAGTGGTTGACAGAATTTGTGGCTGGATTCTTGATTTTTGCATATTTAATATAAATTAAATAATACCCTAAACAATGCTCGTAAAAGAAGAATTTGCAGTTGAAGTATTGTCCATTCTTGGTTTGTTGCATTTCTTCTTGTCCACAGAAGTTTCTTTGACATTTCATGTAGACATTTAACAAAAGTCACACCTTTTTTACAACCTATTTGCCACTTCATAGGTGTTACTGTTCCTCTATGATGATAAAGATCCCAGTATTTGGTATGATTGTACATAATTTAGGATTGTCATTTGTTTACAATTCATCCATTTGATCTCAATCAGTGATACAACTATAAGAGAAGCATAATCTATCAGATAGTTTGCTGAGGGCTAAAATGTGGAACACCATCTCATAATCACCTAACTTTGATTAATAATTTCGCAGAAGTGGGTATTTATAAGAAACAGCAGTAGATGACAACAACCTATCTTATAGCTTTTTCATTCTGACCAACTTAAGTTCCAGAATTATCATGTTTGTCATTTTAAAATACATGACAGAAATATTATATCTGGAATTTATCATTGATCTATCATGTAAAATGTGGTATAAGTGGTTTATACTATCACATCCAAATTTCCTCTCAATCTTTCAAATACCCACGGCTAGGATTAACATTTTGAGCTACCCACCCATACTACAGTGCTTCTTAAGCAATGTTATTAAAGATTTATAGAACATCTTAAGGATGGATTGCCATTAGTATTTGGTGCCTATAGTGTACCAGATTATAAGAATTGTCTTGATTTCTCATGTAACCTCTTTTAAGTTTACTTTCATTTTTTTGCTCAATAGATTAAACCTATGGATTTGGTTTTCATATATTTTTCCTAGTTTTCTTTAATTGAATTCTCCCCACTATTTAAATTTTACTTTCACCTTGTTTACTTTTCTTAGTAGAAAAGTATCAATTGAATAGCAGTAACAATAGCACTTAGACTTATATACAGCTTCATAGGGCTTTACAGCCCTCTCTAAGCAGCTTACAGAGTCAACATGTTGCCCCCAACAATCTGTCTTCATGTTACCCACTCTGTTCAGCATTGAACTCCTGGCAGTGAGCAGAGTCAGCCTGCAATACTGCATTCTAATAACTGCACTACCACAGCTCTTATAGTATTTTATAATATATTTTTCATTTTTTCTGTTCAGTAGGGAATTTGAAGTACCAAAGTCTAAACATTTTCATATGTGAAATCACCCTGTTTGTGTTGGATGACATGTTACCTAAAGATATTTTCTTCATTTGCACTTCATTGGCAATCTTTTTTTTTCTTCTCATGACATTGTGTTCATCTTGACCCATACCTGAGATAGTTAAGTTGCCCTCAGCTGTTCCTTGACAAAATAATATTTCCTCTTTAAGCAGACAACAAACTGTGGCAATTTTGCTGTGGAGTAAAATCTGATCTGTTCCATCAACTGAATTCTTTTGGTAGGACTATCAAAAGATAGTTATCAGCATGGCATCTATTGGGCACTTAGGGTGGTATGGAGTGTATGCCTTCTCTGTTTAGCTTTTGGTGTGATTTCAGAGCTATTCTATATTAGGCAGCAGGAAAGTGGCTATCAAATTGGGTCCTTCTCTGCATCCTTGGGTGGGGAGGACAGAACCCAGCTTCAAGGCTTGGATGAGTATAACTAGCAGCTGATCAGCAGTGGAAGCAGAAAAGTTGCAGAATGATGCAGGATAAGCAAGAAAGAGAGGTTCTCTGTGGTACTTTATGGTAAAACTTCTCCAGTGCCTGTCAACTTTTGTTTGTGCTGCTCTTGAACATGAGTGTAATACTGTTCAGGAAGAGCACTGAAGCCATGTCAAAAAGGAGACCAAGTATCAGTTGATAATCAAACTCCCTTTGAATGTGCTTATGGAAAATAATATGTGCAAAATCAGAGCAAATTTCAATAAAAGACTAAACTTACCATTCTTACTTTCCCCTTAAGGTCTAGCACCACGCCATGTTAAGGAGAGAATTTAGAAAATGCTTTCATGTCAACTGGAGATATAATGGAAGAGAAGGAAAAAGAACTTCTTTCGCTCTCCATTTTAAAATGTCCAACATGTCATAAAGAGAATGGAGATGTTGTGTCTGTTGTAAGTTAGATATTGCCTAGCAAATTTTATGTCAAGACAGACATACACTACTTCAACTTTGTCAAAAGAAAGAATTCAAAATCTGACCTGGGGACACAAGCAAAATGCAAAAAGAAATCTATCAGCAATTAAGAACAAATCAAATTACCTGAGTGGAAAAATATAGAGAATTAAACTGTCCTTTCATTAAAAAATGGGAAATAGAAGTATTTTCTTTGGTGACTTATAAAAAGCCTTCACTAAGAAGGCTTGCAAAGAAGCTAAGGCTAGGTCAGTGATGATGAACCTTTTGGGTACTGAGTGCCCAAAGCATGCACATGCATACCCAAAATGCAAGGTGCGCCTGCGCCCTCGCATGTATGCATGCCCCTCATGAATGTGTGCCACACAAGTGCCCCCCTCACCCATGTGTGGCAGAGACCCGGAAGCCAGCTGGCTGGCCAGTGAAGCTGAGCTGGGGCAATGGTGCGCGTGTCCACAGAGAGGGCTCTGCTTTCCACCAGTGGCATGCGTGCCGTAGGTTCACCACCACTGAGCTAAGTGAAAGGAAAATCCTGGAAAGAACCCAGAAAATGTGGAAAATTAACTTTTCTCTTTTTTTACTGCTGCTGTTGCTGCTACTACAACTACTTTTTACACTGTTGTTTGTGTGTGGGGGAGTGTTTTTTGAAATAGTTGAAGAAATGGAAAGATCATTAATAAAATGTTTCCTAAAAGGTACTTTTCAAATTAAGATAAAAAATGTATTGTGCTTGGAAATATATCAAATCAACAAATATAGTATTAACATTGCTTAACATATTTATGAATAACATAATTAACAAATTAACAAACCATGAAAGGAGAGTGAAGTTCATTCCAGACAAAATACATTTATATGACATTCTAAAAGTTTTTAAAAGGCTCAGAAGTCAAATTGCTGGTAGTAGTTTAGATCAGGGGTCGCCAACCTTTTGGACTTCAGGGTCCACCAAACTCATAATTTTAAATCCCAGGGACCACTAACCGGTTCTGTGGGCGTGACCTAATTTGTGGGTGTGGCCAGAGGTGCTATTCAGTAGGTTCTGACCAGTTCTGAAGAACCGGTAGTGGAAATTTTGAGTAGTTCAGAGAACCGGCAAATACCACCTCTGACTGGAGATTTTACAGTATCCTTCCCCTGCCACACCCACCAAGCCACGCCCACAGAACCGGTAGTAAAAAGAAATTTGAATCCCACCATTGGGTGTGGCTTGGTGGTCATGTGACTGACTGAGCATGGCTTGTACGTAAATATTATAAATATTGATATAAATGTTGATTTTTTTATAAAAAAGCAACTTTTATCCAAAATCAGGCAAAGCAGACAGACAGGCAGATTAAGTTGCTCACAGAATCATTTCGTGATCATCGGCTAGCTCAGTATCTCAAATTTGCTTGCCATGAGTCTGCACTGAATAATAGAATCTTCAGTCCTAAGGGAGATTCGGCTTTGCTTGAACCGTAACCCTAACCATTTCCTGCTTCCTAGCTAATCTAAATCTCCCAGCACAGCAGAAAAGATGATGGTCAGAAAAAGGAAAAATAGCAATTTAGCAGGCATGTTTGCTGGGTAAGGAGTGGGCGGGGAGGGTTCCTGTGGGCTATGTGGGCGATGCAGCCTTGTGTTTCTGCACAGCCTGGATTAATTGCTTTGGGGGGGGGGTGCTCTGGGGATGAGATTTCTCTGCGGACCGCCAAAATTTTCTCATGGGCTACCAGTGGGCCACTGCTCGTTTAGATTCAGAAAAACTGGAATGATTAGCTATCACTTTATATAGCAAATATTCCCCCTTTTCTTAGCTTGTTTTGCCTTTGAAATAAATACTTTTTGTATCAGTGTTATAATAGGAAACAAAGTCCACAGTATATAACATTTTTCTTTTAGTGTTTCAATTCCTTGTTTTCAGTTGGTGTCTTTTTTCTGCAACTTGCAATAATAAAATATCC